CGAGAGGCTGTTACACTGCAGACCGAGTCCTGCAGGAGCGGGAGGCGTGATTGCTTTCTGCATTAGCGAGGAGGAAGGCGAGTGTAATAATGCTGGGATTACTGTAATGGACTCTAATGGGCCTTCTCTCGCCATCCTTCTCCTCGACTACGCTGCCTTATTAAACACATTTCCAGGCTCTGGCTGCAGCAACTGCCCCTGAATATTAAACACCGCTCTGCAGCCGCATGTTGCTACATATGATCTGTTAATCCTTGACCGTGCACAGGCCTGCCCTAGTGCCAGCACAGGACAGGACAGGGGAGGAGGGAAGGGGGGGGTAGAGAGAACAAGAGAGCACGCTATTATCGTGTGCGAGCCGATGCTTAAAACAAAACAAAATGAATCGTCAAACTGGTCCCTTGACCCATAGTTCAGGAATGATCTCAGCATACAGGGGTGATTGAATGACACCCGTTTCAGCCTCTGGAATGGCGCGGCCACTCTGTCATGCAGCAGAGTTAACAATGTCTCTGCCTTTATACTCTCACCGTGCTCTACAGATGAACAATAACATCTGCACACAGCTGCATGCTTTTCATGCGAACCAAGGGAAACTGCACCTCCACAATGCACATCACGGCTTTTCTTCTGCTCTCATTCATCTTTGACATTCAGGAGAGAGACATACAGAACGACCTACTTTATGAATTCATGATTCATAAACTGTGGAGAAAAAGGAGCATATTTGGACGGAAGCTGATTCCTTAAAGTCGCTTACTGAGAGGACACAAAATGTAGAAAACGGCTACTTATGCATGTTCTGGTTTGCTTCATATCAAGGTTTAAAGACTATTTATTTTCTGCAAGACAGACGTTTTGACTCATCTCCCTAAACCTCATAAGATGTGTGGTCATTTTATTTTATTATTTATTTTGTTTTTTTAATCATGATTAAAGCAAAAAAAAACACACCTGGAGACAAGTGTTAGTGATCTAGCTGTTACTGCATCATCGCAGCAGTCAGGAAGAGACAGGAACACCTGAACAGGGCACAGAGCTCCCAGGGCCCAGCCTCACTCAGCCAATCGCTGAGCTCGAAGGACAAGCGGCCCTCACATCAGAGCCCCATCGGCACCTGGGACAGCTCCCCACGAGGAGGGCAGTGACGTCTGTGCTCTCAGCCCGATTTCAGTACAAGGCCCCGTGATCAGATGCAACACTCCGGCGCAGGAAAGGGTGCCCAATTTCGAAACCCCCTGCATCATTTTCATTAGGTACAACTGGGACAGCTTTCCAGACTTATCCGTTTCTGGTCCAAGAGTAGGCTTCGCTGTTTCCTAACTCCAACCTACCCGCAGATAGTTTTGCAATAATAATAATAATAATAATAATTGCTTACACTTATATAGCGCTTTTCTGGACACTCCACTCAAAGCACTTTACAGGTAATGGGGATCCTTCTCCACCACCACCAGTGTGCAGCCCCACCTGGATGATACAACGGCAGCCATAGTGCGCCAGAACGCTCACATCAGCTCTCAGTGGGGAGGAGAGCAGAGTGATGAAGCCAGTTCAGAGATGGGGATTATTAGGAGGCCATGATTGGTAAGGCCCAAAGGGAAATTTGGCCAGGACGCTTGGGTTAAACCCCTACTCTTTTCGAGAAACGCCCTGGGATTTTTAATGACCACAGAGAGTCAGGACCTCGGTTTTATATCTCATCCAAAGGACGGCACTATACTGGGGCATTAGGACCCACATAAACCGCAGGGTGAGCGCCCCCTACTGGCCCCACTAACACCTCTTCTAGCAGCAACCTTTTTCCCAGGAGGTCTCCCATCCAGGTACTGACCAGGCTCACACCTGCTGAGCTTCAGTGGGCTGCCAGTGGTGAGCTGCAGAGTGATTTGGCTGCTGCAACCTCATTCAAGTATGTGTGTGTGTCTGAGGGAGCGGGGTGGGGGGGGGTCGCACTTATTTGTGTGTATGGGAGTGAGAGAAACTGTTTAGAAGAGGCTGAATAATTAACGCAGGGAAAATCTGGAAAATAAATTCAGCTGGGTGTCAAGAGAGACACGAGAGCTCCAATCGCAGACAAGAGCTGCACAGAAAAAGGTCAGGTAGGTATAACTCCTGGACAAGCTGATCTCCAGCTTTGTGCGTCACCAGCCGCCCTCCGACACGTAGATGTATGTCAGCCAGGGCCTCGGAGGAAGACCTCCAGACCAGGCGCGCTCATCTGGAAGGCATCTTGAGGCGGCAAACAATGACGACCGAGAAAAGCAGAGCAGCCGGTGTCACAGCATCACACACGGACACAAGCCAACTGGCACCCCTTCAGGAAAAGAACCTGGCAGGAACCCGAGGGACTCCAAAAATAAAATCTGTTCTTTTTTCCCCCCAGTGCAAGTGAGCTTTTAAAAAACAGTTCACCCATTAGGTGTATTTAACTCAAGGAGGCTATTTATCACAATCCCTGGGATTGTGCTGCTGCCCCTGAGGCTCCTCTGAGAGGTCATGTTAAGATCCAGTCGGATTTACGGGAAAACAAGCAGGACACGGGAAGAGATCATCCCGTACTTCTCCGCTGTCGCTGCTGCACCTCACTGGCGGGACACACCCAGTCCAAGCCACAAAGAACAGCCCTTCGGGCCCAGGAAGAGCAGGAAGACGCAGCCGGCATGAATTAAAACTCATTAACAAAGCGATAACACTCTTAACATTTCACTCCAACTAGGAGTGCGTCACAGCTGATAATGAAGCAGGGCCTAGTGGTAAATTATTAATGCCTCAGCCTGGTCGTCAATTACAGCGGATGTGCAGACTACAGGGAGCAATGCAAATTTCACTTTATGCCACGTTGGGGAAAAAAAAGAATTTTAAAAGCATAGTAAAGGGGCTGTGCTTCATTTGAGAGAGTGAACAGCAGAGAATTCTGATGACTCTCCGTCAGCCTGTAAGGTTTTGACAAAGGAGCTACAGCTGGCTGGAGCCGATGAGGTTTAACCACAGCTGAAAGACAGACTTCGGCCCATTTAAGCACCCGCATAGTAGGGAAACGCGAGAAGCCATCAGGGGTTTTCGATTATGACTCCTGCCTCTCAGACACACGTGCACTTCCGCCCTGAGCGCACTGAGGCCTCTGCTGTACCTGCGAAGGAAGCTACGCCATTTAACGAGAGGACATTCCGTGTATTTCTTGTCAAAGCGCCGCAAGCATGAAAGCCCTTGTACAAGCTGAGACTGCTCACATGTGAGTACAGCGTGGTCAGTTACCCACAGTGCCCTGGCCCCTGGGGAAGACGGCTGAAGATCAGTGGCTGGGCCGATGGCAGGATGACTCTCGAGTCCCGCCTGCCCAGCACACGGGCACAGGGGCCTGCGTTCCTGCGATACAGGGAAAGGCAACGGCTCTGGAGCAGCTGTGCATCGCGCCGAGGCTGCCGGGTCTGTAGCTGGAAGCTTTGGTCGGATTCCCGCTTTTCAGTTTTGTACATCTCTGACCCAGGGCAGGAAATGAGATTCCAGCGACGGTGCGTTTCAGCCGCAGGGCTCTAGTTCTGTATATACGAGCCAACGCTCCGTTCCTTCCTCGCAGCATGTTTTGGAATTAATTCCAAAATACTCTGCTGTCTTGGGACCATGTCTACGTGTGGACCTGGGAACCGCAGAATCCACAGGGAAAAGCTCCTGTCAGGAGCGCCGCATGGCAGGGAAACGTGGCGCCGACTGGGGGGG